AAGACTTTTATTTCGAAGTTTTGATTTGTGTGCGTATTATGCTCGTAGTTTTATTATAAAATACTCGTCTTCAACCGGTTTTGATCTTTTCTTTAGGTTCCGAAGTTCTCATTAGGTGACAAATGAACTGGCCGATCAAGATATCTCAATCTCTTGACGCAAAATTTGTTACTCTGTAACCTATGGCCAATTTAGTAAATTAAGAACTTCCTGCTCCGGACTAGAACAGCCTTCAGACTTTAGCAGATACATGAAGAGGCCGTGCCCCTTTACGCTTATAGAAAAGTAGAAAGGAGCTCGCAGAGAACAAGTCAGTGACCCTGCTTAAGGACACGGCCAATAAAATGGGAAGTAACAGGGAAGGACATTCCAAGAATACAGATACCTCAACCTCCCGCCTTTCCAGAATAGGCTTACCAGTTTATTCAGCCAGTTTGTGTAGTTAATGATCTAACATAGAGAATGTAACAGAAATATTAAGAAAATTACATTGCTGCAAGGAGCTTCATGATTTGTACTCTAACGAATATTATGGCAAACGAATTGAGGATCAGGTGGGCGGAGCATGAGGCAAGCTTAAGGAAAGCAAGAAACAGCCACACGATTTTAGTTGGAAAAACTGATAATGGACAGCCCATTCAAGAGGTGCAGGAGTCGATGCAGGGAGACAATATTTCGACGGACCTTAAAGAAATAGGTTGGGAGGCTGTGGACTGGATACATCTGGCTCAGAATAGGATCCAACAGCGGGCTCATGAGTACACGCTAATGGTTCGGGTTTCATAAGACAGGCTCGTGGGGTTATTGACATGATTTGAGCAATGGAAATACCTACCTTCAGTCGGGTCATAAGCAGCGCCTCCTCTTGGTAACGCCGTGAGGTCATACGTTAGGGTCGCAACTTCTTTTGTGAAGTCCGTTTTAGAGGTAGCTGCTTCCACATATAAAGCAGCCTGACCTCCTCGACTTAGGAAACACCTCACCAGTTGCACTGGCGCCCCGTCTTCCGCGGAGAAAAGCGGAACCAATGACCTTGATCCTTCCAGGAATATTCGTGCTCCCCCGAAGTTAGAGCCCACTTTGACGCAACCCCGGAAATCTCTTCCGGAGGCTCCGAGCCTGAGGAGAACCCGGAGGGCTCCGCGAGGATAAACCCACTCCAGATGGCCTTGAGAACATCGGAGATAAACCGGAGTGACGCCTCTCCCGAGCCCATCGGAAGCGGCCGTTGACAGTCCACTGAAACAATGCAATGTGTTATTTTCTCATCTTACCGATCATACTAAGGCGAACGCATGCTTGTGTTGAGCGCAAACAGAAGGATTAATAAGAATTAACTGAATTAGCATGATACGAAAACGAGTCTAAAAGACTAAAATCTTCTAAGACTTTTCGGGTATCAAATACAGACCCCTCAGGGACCCACATCAGTGGGTACGGAGACTGGCACCCCCGAGGACCCGAGCTACCCAGTGCCTGGGGGTATAACTGGGCCACCGTACCTCTGGGGGGCTGTAAATACGGAGGTATGGTCCTCCAGGTTGGGGGGTTGGGCGTGGGGCTGACAACCCCACCCTGCAAAAAGCAACTTGTTATGAAATCAGACGAAGCAACTGCCGGATGTACTCATTCACAGAGGACTGGCAAACAGATTGTCCGTGAATGAGGAAGAGTGGAAGAGGTTTTTGAAGAAGGGCAGGGCCCACACAGGGCTGTAGAGCCAATGATGATGATTATTATTATTATTACAGAACGAGATAATACAAATGAGTAAAGTACTGCTGTCTAAAATGTCCACAAGTGTAAACTGCCATAACCTGCAAGCTTTCAAACATAACCTCAATGTTTCGCACTGTCACGATATTTGAAACATGTGATTTGGTGGTACGTGTAGACACATGTCTATACAGAATTAAATGCGTCAGCCCTTGCTATCAAACGGAATTCCGAATATAAATTTCAGGAGGCTGCCATTTTTCTACGCCGCATATTTTCTGTAGGTCTGCGATCAGACAAAAGGCTTACGCCCACCACTAAGCAGTGCTATTGTCGCTGACCTCGTTCGTTCAGACAGCTGCCATGTTGGTATTATTAATGACGAGGAATTAAAAGTACTCGGAGGTGTGGGTGGCTCCCAACGGTCAACTGGCACGTAAGTTACCGGGGGGTCAATCTTGTGGACACGAACTTTCCTTGCATGTAAAGCATGCTGAAAACGAAATGTATATTTCTGTAACACGATGATCCACGTCCCCACACGTGTCATAAAACGAAGGATGAAGCTGTAAAAGTGGGATGCAGTAATAGTGTCAGACACTGAATTAATTTCCACGCGCTCCAGATCCGTGCCGTCTCCGTGGTTATCGTTTCGACGACGAGGTCGGTAATGGATTGTTCATGTAAAGACACGAATTGAAGATCAATTCAGTTGCTGGGCAAAAATCCAGGCAGTGGTAGAAAGTAAAATAATTAAGGTAATGATATCTGTGTACATCTTTACATATCCAAATACAACGGAAAAGATTATGCAGAAAATATGTATCTCGGTAAGCATAGTGCTTCATAACTTTCAGAGGAGAATGTGTTGCGCATAGGAAAGCCATATCGATGTTCCGATTGACTCCGATATCGTTGGAAATGCAACAAAATAGCAAACAAAGATCCATGCTTCGGTTGGCAAGTTGGTCAACCATTTCAGATACTCGCTCAAGTGGCTATGATAACAGTGGTTAACGGTAATTATCATGCTCGTTATTGCAAACCGTATTTGTTTACGATTTTTACAAGGGGCGTGGAAAATGAAAAACGTTACCAAGAAAGTGCGTGGTTTTTGTTACGTTTATGTCGCTTTACATCTGAATGGCATTAATGGTTTACTCAGCACAACATGGCCGTGGCATTTTAATGAGATTTTTACCTTTGTCTTTCCGCAGACGATAAATATCCCGAGAGACAGCAGGCTAATGAAATCTCTGTCATTCATTGCACATCGCACAAGAGAGATAATTTTATGTAATACAATGTAGCCGAGACGCATTGTGCAGGAGGAATTAGAACCAACATCTAGGCAGAACAAATTAGAGAAATGACGGCTGTGTAATACCAAAGAACCCACAAAACGCGTAATTCGCCCTACTCATCAATCTGGTAATGCAGATGGATTAAGATACCACTAAGTATCTTTTTGAAAATCCAAGCCAGAGGCCAGCCAATTTTTCTTTGCTCGGATGTCAGAATTTTCCAATTAAATCAGGTTCATCGCCTTCTTCACAGTAGGTCACCAATGGGCCATATTCTGAGCCAGCTGAATACAATCCAATTCATATTTTTCAACGCACTTACGCGTGCTACATGTCCTTGCAACCTAGCCTTCTTGATTTAATCAGACAAAGAATATAAAAATGAGCGTAAAGTTCCCCGTTGTGTGTAACTGTCTCTTATTCCCCGCCCTTTTTCTTTGGTTTAAATATTCTAAGAACTTTTCTTACACAGTCCAAGGGCGAGAGAGAGAGAGAACGCCCAGGGGCAACCCTGTTTCACATTCGGGAGGTCACGGGTTCAGTATCAGTCCGGAGACTGGCTATCGCTACAAACGTTTCTTCAGTAGTTTTCCTCAGTTCTTAATTAGGCCATTCATGCTATTTTCATTACACAGTTTCTTATTCATCCTACCACTCAACGCTGTACTGTATAGTCTGAAGCTAACTGGAAACGTTGTGAAGTAATAGAATAAAATAAATAAATACGAGTGACAGACGACGTTTCACATCACAGAAAATAACCATGTCAAATTTCAGTGAATTCTCACCACCACCATTGTCGTCGTCGTCTAGTGGCGACGTTAGTAATTCTTGGAGCTCTCTCTCCACTCCACGCACCTCTGCATGGCGTGGAGCTTAGTTAACCTCCAGTGACAACTTTACCTTTAGCTTGTATTTAAATATTTGGTGTTTTATGCAGTCAATATGACAGACAGGTAACAATGTAACCTTTGTTGGCATGCAGTACTTGGAAACTGCTGTGTGTATGAACGATTTAAAAGATTCCCAGAACACTAATACCATTCTCTGACAATATGACACCGTTAGTAGTCGTTTCATAATCACAAAGTACACATTCCGGTTACCAGGTATGTAAATTCGATTTTTACATACATGAAGACCTTTTCAGAAGTGAACCTGGGATATCGCTAGGCAAGGTAATCTAACTTATACAACAAAAGTTATCGATAATTTAAAACATGACAGCACACCCACTACAACATGTCAAGTCCGGTTTCACCTCACCTCAGCCCGGGGCGTAGTTCGATTCTGTGGAACTTTTATTCATAACAATGATTCGTGTTTTATTTCCTTCGCCTTCTTTAGGGCGTGGTCTTAAGAGAGCTGTGTTTTGTGCACGAGACACATTCAGCTGTAAATCCATTCGATATCTCAGCATCACAGACATTCGTATGAAAATGATTATCCTTTGAGGTCATAAAATAGACCTCATTAAAACGTGGACAGAATTTTATTATTACTGAAGTAACAGATAGCAATGGAAAGGAAATAAAAGCAGTGAGCCACTTCAAAAGTTCATTTTTAACCCACGTGCTGCTGCAAATTATACAGACAAGTTACGAACAAGCTACATTCGTGAGTCTTTGCTACCATTCAGCTCAGAATATTTTACTTTCTTGCCAACAATCTAAAAACATTAAAAGAGTCTTCTCGGGCTATCAGCCGTGTTAGTTGGTGATCAATCGCCGACGTTTCGAGGACCATATCTGTCTTCGAAACGTCGGCGATTGATCACCAACTAACACTGCTGATAGATCGAGAAGGCTTTATTTATGAAAGCTGCAGTGAAAGCTTCACATCATAAATCTAAAAATATGATTATTACATTTTACAGAACTATATTTGTACCTGTTAGATATGGGAACTGAGGATGGATGCCTGAGAATATCTGAACCTTAAGATATAGTAAGATGGAGAAACCTGCACTGCTGCTCTATATAATTAACATATTAATGGAATATTCCATATTATAGTAACAGGGAGAGGCAGTCAGTGCCTGCAATGAATTTGCCTACATCACCACAACTGCCCGTGGTACAGCCATTGTAAGTAAACAGATCCACTGTGCAGCATAAACTACTCTTTAAATAGTATTCGTTAGCCTATCAACTACAAATAAGGTGTTAGATAATTTCACAAACAATTGCATTCAGATCAAGAGCTATTTCCATTTAAATTCGTTACAAGGTCAGAAAAGAAAATTGTATTACAACAATTGATAAAACAAAAAAAACAAGCACATAAGAATTTCATCTCACTCAAAATGCAGTCTATTTATCATCCTTTAAAAAAAACACAACCAGAAGGAAGGTCATTAGATTACTCTGAGGAGTTTACTAAGAAGCCCTCCAAAGTAAAAGGGAAATAATTTATGTTCATGTCATTAATCATGAACATATAGACATTCACACAATAGACTCAAAAGAACGTACCAGTCACTAACGCAAGCAAAAATGAAACAAAAGAATGGCTGTTCATGGAGTTTCAGAATATACCGCCTCTATAACAAAATAATAAAGCCAGGACTGATTCGACCATACGCCGCTGATGGAAAAATAGTTTGTATTTGTCATTGGACAACCAGTTCTTGAACATGCTGTGAAACTTTACGGATTTGTCCGGAAGGTCCATTCTCGGCCCGGAGGCCGGCTATCCTAAGGCTCTTCGTGGTTTCCCTCAGTCCCTCCAGGCTTATTCCGCGACAGTACCTTAAATTAGGCCACGATCTCTTCATTCCACACCTTTTCCAATTCTTTATTCACTATCATCGTCTCATTCGACGCTATATAGTATGAGCTACTTAAAAGTGTCATTAAATAAACTATAAAATAAATACATAAATTAACAGGTTTAAAAATGTATCACTGATTAACACGCAGCATTAAGGCTGGAACTACTTTGACTTTCTCTTAGAATAATTATATAAACTGAATTGTTCGGAAAGTAAGTAAGAGTAGTTTAAATTCGTGCATAGCCTGCTACAGAGTTCAGTTCATAATCTTTTTGTCTCCCCGTTTTTGAACCTTGTTTCAGTGAAGGAATGATTAATAAATAATAACGGCTCAAATCGATATATCATGACGTGCCTGGAGGGACTACGGAAAACCACTAATATCTCAGGATAACAGGTCTCCGGGTTTTTATTTAAACTCACGAACCAAGACGGCCATTCACTTC